AGGCTAAGTGTGATAAAAAATGGTATGTTCTGTCCTTAATGTGTATGTAAGCAAGGTAAATAACTGGAAGGTAATTAAATTACTGTACAGATATTCTGAACAGTGACAAGAGGAATTAGGCTATTCATACTTCCCCCTTTTAGTGTCTACTCAGATCTTTAGTCTAGACCAACCCAACATAAAACAGGCTGCTATGAAATTCATACTCTGAGTGTGAAGATAACAGTATATTTCTATGTCATATGACTTAGAAAAAGACCTCATTTACTACATGGGGCAGAATAGTTGCCAGCATTCCTAAGTCGGTTTCTGGGTCTAACCAGTGGTTTTACACTAGATAAGATATGCTGTATTAGTTGTGAAAAGCCAGCCATCACTAAATTCACAAAACTACTTGCTCATCGTCACAACCTGCACATCTTTTAAGTCAACTGTGTTAAGATGAGATGCTTCACCAAAGTGATGCACAAGGTACAATTTCTAGATTCAGTGCCCCAAATTTCCATAAGTGCTATATCCATCTACCTTGTATCTATCTGACAACTATAATAATTACATAGGTTGAATCTGTGCAAATATTTACATGATAGTTAAAAATAAAGGACTTCGGTTCAGTTCCCAGCACCCACATGGTGGCAAACAACCAACTGTACTCCAGTTCCAAGGGGATCTTAATGTCCTCTTCTAGCCTCCGCAGACATTACACTTACATACATGTAAGTAAAACACTCATACACATAAAATTTAAAAAATAATCAAAAAGAGATATTACTAAGGTGCTATTAGCTGACTTAAATAAAAAATATCTCATTGCCAGGCATGGTGGTGCATGCCTTTAATCCCAGCACTCAGGAGGCAGAGGCAGGTGGATCTCTGTGAGTTCAAGGCCAGCCTGGTCTACATAGTGAGTTCCAGGACAGCTGGGGCTACAGGGAGACCCTGTCTCAAAAGACAAAAAAAAAAAAGCAAAAGGCAAAAGTATCTCACAAATCTTAAAAGAGGTACTCAAGATTTGTGGACATGAACATTTACAAATATATTCCTAAACTTGAAAACAGGGTAGTGGGAGCCTGGCTTGATAGGACTGGGCAAATAATTGCAAAGTTGGAATTAAGAGCATTCTAACTTCCACTCACATTCTACTAGTTAGAACACCTCAGAGCCTTCTTTATAAAACCTATGTGACCAAGAAATGAGAAGCAAAAAAAACAAAACCCATTTTTAAAAGACGTTAATGGAAACACGCCCCTCCCCCAAATAATAGGGAGGATACTGGTGATTGTATTTTTGTGGCTAGGTTGACAATCATCAAATTGAAAAGTGAAGTCAGAGGGCCTTCCCCCACAGGTGGACCCATCTACTTTCTCCTGGGAGACAGGTATTTGTATGTGAACTGAAAACACAAAAATGGACACTAAACTTAAATACACTCACCAAGCCTTGATAAAGCTAGAACATTGTATCTCCCATATTAAGTCACACCTCTATAATATTCTCAATTTCTATTTCAAAGTAGGCAGGTCACTAACTATAAACAGCTTAAATTTTCTACTATTTAACTACAAGCCCACATTCCATTTATTATCTATTCTCCTTTTGAGAATTTTTCCTCCTTCCACCCAAAAAGTTACTTCCTCATACTACTGATGTCAATGAGCATCATCACTGCTTCCTAAACCAAAAGCATGGCTATACCAGACTCCCCACATTCCTTTCCCCACTGTCCAAGTTCTTCCCACATCTAGTTCCTTGACTACAAGGTAAAGGTTTAACCCACAGCCTTCTTCTCAGCTTCAGAATTCTTCAGTTACATGGCTACTACTTCTTGGATGGCAAAGAATTATCTCTTAATGAGATCTGTCACTGGCATATAATTATGCAAGCACTGAACCATTCTCTCAACTTCTCACTTTCAAACTGCCCTAGTTTGAAACTATCCTAGTGCCCTTGCATGCTAAGTCATTCATTTTCTCTCCCTCTACTTTTATACCACTTCCTGGAAAAGAAAGCTGTAGACTTCATTAGTCTACCTTAGCTACTATTTCCCAATTTAATTTTCAGCCAAGGTACTTTAAAATGCTAATTTGGCCATTTCACACTTATCTGTCACTCATGATTCTTACGGCAATTTTTTAAATTATTACAGTATTTGGAGGGAGTGCATGTACATGTGTGGAGTTCAGAGACAAGAGTCAAGTTTTCTCCTTCCACCATGTGGGTCCTGGGGATGAAACTCAGGTCTTCAGGCTTGGCTGCACATGGCTTTACCATAGAGCCATCTCACCAGCCCTCTTAAGAGCAATTTTTATTGTGACTGACAAGCCTTAGAGTCTGGCCTTAACTATTTCTGAAATCCACGCCTCTCATGTTTCTATTTGCTTCAGTCAAACAAGCATTGTTTAAATTTTTATTTTATGTGTATAAGCATCTTGTCAGCATGTATGTAGTAAGTGAGCCAGTATCATGCAATGCCAGAAAAGGGTGCTGGATCTCCTGGAACTCAAGTTATAGACAGTTGCTAGCTGCCATTTGGGTGCTGGGAGGGAACTGAACCCAGATCCTCTGCAAGAGCAGCCAGTGTTCTTAACCACTGAGCCATTTCTCCACCCCCTCCCCAAGCATTCATTAAATTCCTATTGCCATGAACCCTCCTGCCAACAATTCTTTTTCACAAGCCTCTCTCCCCCAATAAGACAGGTGCACTTCCCTTTTTACCAGGTCATAGTCTTCCAGATTTCAGTATAACATTAAGAATATAAAACAATGCTTTCCTATAACCTGAGTGTGGATTTTTTTTTCCTCCCTTTTTTAAACAGGGTCTAACTGGGTGGGCAAGAGGGCTTAGCAGGTAAAAGCACTTGCCACAAAAGCCTGGTGACATGTGTTTGATTACCGGGATGTAATGGTGTCCATCTGTAATACCAGCATTTCTGAAGTGGGAAATAGAAACAGGAGATTCACCCATAAGGTAACAAAGTCAGTTAGTCTGGAGTGTGCAGTGAGGCAGAAACAAGGGAAGCCCTGTCTTAACAAAGTAGAAGGTGCTGACTCCTGAAAATTGTCCTCTGACCTACATACACACATACAGAGGTGGTCTAACTGGTAGCTTAGACTAGAGGTTCCCCTTCCTCAGCTTCCAAGTGCTGGCAATTACTGACACAGCATCACACCTGGCTGACTATAGATTTTTGCCATTTTCATCTGGCATTCCAATCCAAATCAATGAACCACATAAAAATCCAAGAACTGTTAATGAAATATAAAAGGAAATAAAGGCCTAGGATAGCATTAGAAACAATCTTGTAATTCTTATTTCATAAGGGCTAGGAGACACAAGTAGGAAGACAAGGAAAATCATCTTAAGTTCTTCATGTAATTAAAAAAACAAAAGTTCCCAGGTTCAGGGTGTAGTTCAGTTGGTCCCTAGAACTGCAGTAACTGGAGTGATACATGCCTGTTGTCCCAGCACTCACACATAGACTCAGAAGAATAAGAGGTTCAAGGTCATCTCCAGCTACTTAGTAAATATGAGGCTAACATGGGATACTACAAGCACTGTCTCAAAAAATAAAAGGCTTCTCTCTTTTGCACTAGATCAGGTTATATGGGGTTTGGTGACATTTAGCCCCAATCTTTTATTACTTGATGTTCACTGCTGTTTTATAAAGCCCATAGACAAAGAACCTCAAACTCCAAATTAAATAGGAATTGAGAAATGTGACTTTTAAAATGTAAAACCACAAGATTAACAGGAAACCTAACAAAACATAAATGTAACACAAACATTGACAATAATGTGCATTATTTGAACCTAAATTGCTTAGCATTGTTACCTTCAACATACTCAGAAGTTTGCCGGAGAAATTTGGGCTCTAAGCAATAAATATTTGTGTGTCAGACATTTCTTTTTTTAAAGGCTATTCTTCTGTAGCCCAGGTTGGCCTGATATGTGATATAAGGTGAGGATAACTTTGAAATTCTGATCCTCCTGTCTCCATCTCCTCTGAGTACTACTGATATTACAGATGTGCCCCACTATGCCTCGTTTTATGCAGTGCCAGGGATCGAATTCAGTCTTTCTGTATGCTATGCAAGCACTCTACCAACTGAACTATATCCTTGGCCCCAATGTGTCAGCTTTTGTAAGCGGGGCGGGGGGGGGGGACAACTGTTACTGTTTAAAATATAAAGTAGCATAATCCTATAACCTATAATGTTTCCAAAATAATTGGTAAAATTTTGCTGTGATCTAGAAACATTTTTTCTTGATTAAAAGACTAGTGAGGTTGATCCTCATAGTAGACAATCATAAATCTAGTCAGATGCCTCCTGCTTTAAAGGGCAACAAAATGACAGGAGGCAGTCTAGCAAGTAAAGGTGATTCCACCAAACCTAACAATCTAAAATGACAGGAGGCAGTCTAGCAAGTAAAGGTGATTCCACCAAACCTAACAATCTAAAATGACAGGAGGCAGTCTAGCAAGTAAAGGTGATTCCACCAAACCTAACAATCTAAAATGACAGGAGGCAGTCTAGCAAGTAAAGGTGATTCCACCAAACCTAACAATCTGAGATAGATTCCCTGGCCCCACATAGTAGAAGAATCAACTCTTGCAAGTTGTTCTTTGTCTCCCCTCCATACATGCAACATAACATGGTTTGATACACACTAAATAAATGTAATTAAAATGTTTTAAATATGTAAGAAAAAAAAGTATTCTTGAGGAGGGTGGCTTAAAGACAAAATATACAGTCCCAATTTCTATACTGCATTTTGCCAACAGATACTATTCAAAACCATACAAAATAGTTAACAAATTATAAGTCAAACAAAAAGGACAAACTACAAAGTATTATCAAAACTTTTATTTTTCAATACAAGATAAATATCATGCTTGTTACTAGTGCAGTTTAAGGCCAACAATGGCCATATAGCAAACTGCCGAACAGTCACCTAAATGCTAAAGAAAGAAAAGGCAAAGTAAACATTAAACACAAAATTGCAATTACAAACATTTTAATAAAATGGGAATAAGCTTTTTTAAAAGTTAATATGGAAGTCTAATTTTCATGGACATCAAAAAGATGTCTAGTTGATCAAATATCACCTTACCTTTTGCACAGAAATCTTATCATGAAGTCACCAGTCAATAGCTAAAATTTTGAGACTTTCTTTGGCCTTCTGATGTTACACAAATTATTTACAAAGGGTGATTATTTAGTAATTCATTGATACTCTAATATGATACAGTTTTTTGTTGCTTTTAAGGGTTCTCCATTAAAAATTATAAAACAACTTTGTAAGGCTGTATTGGACTGTAAACTACTTTGCTAATTAACACCATGGGATGCAAAAGGAGTAATAGACCTTTTTTAAGGCTAAAGTTATCAATGTTATAGATGCATTCCTCAAAATACATTATGATTTACCCCCAAAGGATCATTTCCCATTAAATACCACCTGAGTACTACAATTTTCAAAGTAAAAAAATAAACAAACATGAGTTTATCACTGCATTTTAAAATAATTTAGCTTACAGAAATGTTGAAAAATGTTACGCAGTAACAGTGCGACAAAAAAAACACACTTTCAAAATGAAATGTTTTCACTAAAATGCAGGGTCTGTCCAATTACGAAATTAATGTCAAACATTTACACCCATGGTGGAGTTTTAGGGTACTCCCACAGGAAAAACTGTTCGTAGTATTTACTATCCACAGATACCATTCAAGACTTGTGTGACTTCAGTTAAATTCTACCTAATATTTTAAGTCTCCCACTACAATATGATAATTAACGTAGCAAGAAGTCTTTAAAACACTGAAATCTGCATATATGTGACCAAGAGTTTGTACATCCCATACAAAAACCAGAGTATTCAGTGGTTGCCAACAACCTGAAACTTTAAAAACACTGGTTAAAGCAAACCTAAACCAATCTGAACATAACAGTGGCCTGAATGTTTTGAATATTCATAAAAATCATATTACTTCTTTCTAATGCCAAGAAAGAAGGGTGTAAAGAACTTCCTCCCAGAAGCCTAGACACTTAGCACATTTTCTATTGACTTAAAAATGAAACTAATTCTGATTCTTGATCTCTCTACAGAAAATTCACATTATGAACACAAGAAATAACACATATAAGGCCACATCTCAATAGATTTGTCATTTTTGGTTGGGTGTTTATTTAAAAGATAGTCTAAGGCTTCTAGGAGTCAAGTTGCTAAAAAATAAATACAACAGTGTTTAAACTGAAGATTAATGTTAACACACACAAACTACAAGAACATAAAAATAGAATGCTTTGCTACAAAAATCCTACTTAATGTATTTTAGCACAAAAAATGTCTAATATGTACAATGGATAAGCGTGCATTTAAGTACATACAGCTGAGGGAAACATTTACAGAGGGCTATGGGATGCAAATGAACTTCATGAATGAAGTTTAAAAAGCAGGTATCTATGAAACAGCAAGAATCTCAATACCGTATTCTCGTTGAAGAATTAGAACATAAACTTCCTCTTAAAATAACTTAAGCTGAAGCTTAAAACACAAAAATGGAGCCACCTTGTAAGATACAGAAAATGCAATTACCATTCAGGTAACAAAACCAAGTAGCATCTCATTATATGAAACAGAATGTATTCAGGTTATTGGCACATTTAAATACATAAAGAGAAAGTCTTAGCCTTTCAACAATTTTCCCCGTTCACTATAAAATATTACACAACATTCATTAGAACTTCCATGTTTATTTTTAGAACTGACCTTAAACTAGTAAAAACTAATGCAACATTCTCCACAGGAGAATCAAATGAAAATATCTTAAGCTACAAGTTATTTGTGAATTCCAAATTGCAGGTAACTGCTTAAGAATATTCTAGGTAAAGGAGCCATTAAATGAGCTAAGATATAATCAATAGCCATAGCAAGTTATTCCAAATCTTGCTTATGAAAACTGACAAAACAAAATAAACACTTGTGAATTTATACTGGATATGCTTTCTACAATGTATTTCCCTTAACCCAAAGCATATTTGACTCAAAAGTGTTGCTTCGGGAGAAATACCATTTGAGTGCTGTGTCACTCATCTCCAACATTACGCTGGCTGAAAGGAATGTGACAGTGGGCACATGCCAAGACTCAAGTTCACTTCAAGCCTGTTTTCATCGCCACTACACTAATTAAAAATGTTTTAAGTCACTTTTTTTTTTTTTTTTTGGTGTCTTTACAAAGATTTCTCTCTTTGGATTGTTTTTACACATTAAAAAATATTTTCAAATAACTCTGGCTCCTAAATAACAGAAGGGATCTGACAAACAAAACAAGGTTTGCAATGTTCACTTTTACTGATATACATTCATGTGTTATCAGGTAAAAGACTTTGCAAAATTACTTGGTTAAACAAAAAAGTTATTTTCTTTCTTCCTGACAGCACTTAAAATAATGAACTAGCAGCAAACAACTCTAGTACACTCACACTATCTGCAACCAAAGTCATTTAATAAAGTCAGCCAAGCAGGGAGAAGTGACATAAAAGGAGCAATTAAAGGGTCTCACTGATTTTTTTTTAAAAAGGTAAATGAATGATTAAAATTAGTACAGAATTTCCAGTTTCATTTCAAGTATTGTATTTGTGATTCCATTTTAAGTGTTCAGAGAAAATTTATTCTCATGGACATTTTACTTACCTTTTAATCCTACTATTAACTAATTTCCCTTGTAAACATATGTATGTCCAAACTTCTTCACATTAGGATATTGTAAATAAACTATTAAAAATGCTAGAAAATGACAAAAACTTAGAACACCTATACACAAAACAAGAAAACAGATTTTGACACAACCCTCAAATTAAAAGGCAACTGCATTTTCAACAAGATAAAACACTTAAGAAAAATCATTTCTGAGAGCTAACAGTTCTGGTAAACACCAATGATCCCATGCACAAATACTCCAATCACAGACTATTTTAAAATGAACTGGCAGTGTTATGAATATTTTGAAACAACTAATTTTTTTTAGTAGTTTGAAAGATAAGATGAAACTGAAGAACATCAGTGCAAATCTCTGAAGCTGTACATTATCTAATATCTAGGGTATTTAAATACCTTAAGCATTGCCCTGATAGTTAGACATAATTTTAAAAAAATCAATGTCTACTATCAGAACATCTCTTAAAAATAGTTGGATCTTGAAAATATATTAAAAACAAATTAACTTGTTTAAGGATTTTATCTCAAATTTCTTTAGTGATTCAGAATTACCTTCCTATAAAAATAGGTTAATCAAGTTGACATTTTGTCTCTGCTAATTTTGCAGAACACATATTAGCCAGGTGCTTTCAATGCAGGCCTTTAGGTAAGGCAGAATTGAGAAGGGAAAAAAAGTCTTGATTAACTAACTCTAGCCTAGCATAAATCAACAGTTACAGGTACATAGAATTCCTTGAACCATGAACAGAGTGTAACTATAATCTCTCCATAATCTCTCATTACTCACAATGCAGAACACAACCCCATGTTAACAAACATCACACCCTTCAGAAATCTATATCGAGTAGAATACTAGGGCTCTCTTTAGTCATATTTATCTGCTGCACCACTGTATTTACATTGCCCATGGCACCATCTGCATGAAACATCAATTACTGCAGCATCCAATCAAAATTATCAGAAGCTCTCTTAAATACTAACAGTTCACAATAAGTGTTTCAGTATATCTGAGTTGTAATTAAGCTGCACTACTGTAGCAAATACATGAGCTTTTACTAAAAATGTTACAACTTCAATGTTTTTTAACCCCTAACATATTGACTGGATTGCTATGTCTGTCAAATTTCAGTTTTTACAAGTTTACATACCATTCAGCAAAGTCACAAGCTAACTAGGTAAAAACAGCTAGAAAAGCAGAATATAGAAATAGCAAATATCCATGTATTCACCTATTCTAATATCAAAATCAAGGGCAAGAGACACTTAATTAGTTATGTTTAATTCACTGAACCAAGATTAGATTGATGCATATCCAAACACGCTATTGCAATGCTTTTTTAAAGACAGTAAAAATGTTGTCATAGTAACATTATCTTTAGATATTGCTGAACACAAGACTTTCCCTGAGGTGTAAACATCAAATAACTTGAACAGCTTTACACATCAGCCCCATTAAACAGTTTATTACAACACTACATCTATTGTAATCAAAGTGGTGCTGTTTACAGACATTATCATATGAACATTTTTAACAAGAACAAACTACTATAAAAACAAGCATTTACTTGACTTTTGTTCCAATTGCTTGCACATTATAATGGCCAAATGTATATAACCAGTAATAAAGTTGCAAAAGCTATTAACTTTTTAAATCACACAGTTTTCCTTCAAATAAAAACAGTTAAGCAACATAAAAAATAAAAGTAGAGCTACTGGTTACCATTTATGCAGATTTGCTTTATTCAGATATATTCCTGTTCAGTTTATCCATGAATCCTTACAGGTTCAGTTCAATCACAAGAAGCAAAACTGCTGGACAGGCGTCACTTTTCCCCCATGAAGACTTTTGTCTTGGAAGGTGTTCCTCTTCCTTCAGCTGTAATGTGTCAAAATTTGTGATGTAGATTTTGCTATTCCCCAGAATACACAAAAAAAATGTTGGCTTAACTATACATACACAAGTCGTGCATCTACTTCACCGTTAGGTATTCTAACACAAAATAAGAAGTAACTGAAACAGTAGCCGCTTGCATGGTGGAGAAATGCTCTGAATTTCTAGGATGACTCAATGTGAGACATTCTGATTTCACTCTTCAGATATCACACCCTTTGAAACTTAGTAATTGAGGATCATTTTATACAATTAATATATGCTAATTAAAAAAATTTAGTTAAAGTAACAAATGAAAATATAGCAGCTACTGTTTCTGTGATGATGAGAACAGTCATAAGTCATTTTCTAAAATATGCATACTACAAAATAAATGGAAAAATGTTGGATGATTTGAATGTAGATTCTTTTAATTCACCCACATATGAATTCTATATTCATTGAACAAATTCTGGACTGAATATAAAATGCAATGAAATTTACACATTAACTGCATTTGACAGAATACAGGAACTTCTGCAATTTGATATAAACCAATGGTGTTCCATATTACAAAACAGTATGAAGAAATACCTCAGTAAAGACATTAAATATGACATCCACATACAAATCTTTAGACATAATACAAATTTGAGACATTACTTTCACTCTATTTCACCTATCAGCTAACCAAAAACAAGCTAATGGGAATCTACAATGATAAATTTCATTGAAAACTCACATATAGGGGGAAAAAGCAAACAATAAAATTGATAATTATAGTCAAAAATACATATGTATGTAAATTTCAGGTAAAAGTCCACAGAAGAAACATTATTTTGAATAAACTGATCACTGAAATACCAAATATTTAAAATATGAATTCCAAGAACATATTTTAATAAATGTAACATGTTTAGTGACATTCCACCATAAAAATACTTCTAAAAAGATCTTTTGCTTTATAACCAAGAGTAATTTCTGTGACAACTCTAAAGTTTATGTCCACTAGCCTCTATGTTGGAAGACTCTAAGAGTGTCAATTTATGTACACAGTCACATTTCCTAGCAACAAAAACTGAAATCTTAAAAGCACAATGGAAAAGGGCCTTTCTCTGTGTCTATATTTTTTAAGAAAGCCTTAAACTATTTATAAAACCTTTTATACTTCCACTTTTATAAATATTGATAAGGCTCACATTGAGAATAAAAAAATCTATGTCAGTTTTCAAATGTTTGGTTTTACCACTCACAAAATTCTGATAGAGTCTGTTTTTGTTTGTTTTCTGGGAATGGGAGGTGCTGGAGACTGAATCCAGAACTTCACACATGCTAAGCCCTTGACCTACTTAACTACACTTCCAAGCACCATAGTATACTTTCACAACAGCAGTAAAGCATTAGAGAAAGACAAGCACATGTTCTAATCTGTAAGAAAGATTGCTGGAAAATTCATAAATCCTATTACAAAAGAACACTACTTCCCCAAAATTTTTGTTGTGTTGAAAAGGATGAAGAATGAATCTCTAAGAGGGAAAAATTATTTAAAATAAATTCAGGAAACAAAAATATTCAATCCTTCCAAAAACCACAGGGCATATTTTATATTATTGTCACTCCAATGAGAATTTTAGTACTTTTTATATAGGAAATCCTGTTTAGGAAATTACAATACACATCTTTATCCAGGACTAATGCACTCATCCTTTGCTTGATTATATTTTATAGATAGCTCTTTACTAATGAAAAAAGCTCAAATTCCCACCATACAGACAAAAATTTTAGGGGACCATTTAAAGTTTTTATTTCTAGTTCTAAACACTTTACAGAAATGCAAATTTTACAATCTCAAACGGAAGCAAAATTTGAAGGCGATACAACCCATTTCCAATAATTCAATTCCATAGTATAGTCTCAAATGCCTTAATAGACATCTACATAAACAAAGATATCAAAAGGCTTAAAAAGTGACAAATACATTCAATGCCCAAGTTTTCAGAATAGCATTTGATCAAATCTGTAATGTCAAAGCCACACAATTACTTGCTTTAGTTGTCAGTTATAAAAAGGAACCTATATAAATAGCTATTAAAATTAACTAAGAGGAATGAAACTTACAGTTTTAAAGTCTGCAAACTAAAGCAGACAGTAAAATTTCAACATAGATATACCTGCATTTTGAGATAATGGACTATCAGACAATCAACAATTCAAATTAAGTACTACTGTTACTTATCTGTGCAAATTTGCTAGCATTAGTATTTTAAAGCTTGTTTTTTAAGTAATTTGAATACTTGATAGGAGTCTCTTCCAGGCTTTTATATTTTGAGTGTTTGTTTTTACTTCTGAAACAGGGTCTTACTAGGCAATCCTGGCTAGCCTGAAACTCCAAATGTAGAGCAGGCTGTCCTGGAACTCCTGCATTGAACTCTTAAATTCTGAGATCATAAAAGCTTGCACCACCACACTTGGTTTTTACAAGTTTCATATTAATCTGCTGAATTAAAGGAGCCACACATCATTTTAGAGATGAAATGTTTTTAAATAAGTAAAATTTACCCTTTTATATCTGAAAATTTCTCCTTAATGAAAGGAATGGCTATGAGGTGGGCAAGAGAAGTGTCTAAACATGTTAACTCTCCTTCGGATAAAGATTTCTTCTTATAGTGACTAGAACAGTGACTAGGATGTATTACATTAAAAAAACAAAAACAAAACAAACTCTGTTTATTGTAGATGTTTACAAAACGTTCTTGGCTATCAAAAACATTTCAAACCATTTCATACTTTCACCTGTCTTTTTCTGAACATCATACTTACCCCACACTTCAACTAAAGCACTTTATTAAACTCTACAAAACACCTAATTACTGCTCTAAGCAACTGACTACATAGTAGAAATAATTCATCACAAAAAAACACTCTGCACCAAAAAGATCCACCACCCTCAAAAATCAACATTTCCAAATAAGTTCTTTAGAATTCACTGTCTAGTCAGTACTTGCTACCACAGAAGCCATATATTTGGATAGTAAAATGGTACCCTTTTCTCTTACTTGTATTTTAGGTTTCCTTTGAACAATGCTAACTGAATATTCATTTAAAAACATTACTTATTCAAAACAATCTAATTTACAATTTAAACAATGGCAAGAAATTTCACACTGAGATGAAGGTGAGAGAGCAAGGTGATTCACATTGTCATTAATTTTTTTTAAAAAACAGAGAACACCAATTATTTATAAACAAAACTGTATTCTTAAACCACAGTGAGCAAAACACTATACATACATTCAAGGGATCGCTTTCCTACTCTCTCATCATTTCAAGCAAGACAGTTGTGCAGTCAGACAGATTTTGCAAATACTAACATGAGAAATTAAAGAATGAAAGCCAGTATAGCATAAGCAAGATGAAGCTGAGCAGATGGAATACATGGGAAGACACAAGAATAACATGTCTGGGAATACTAGGCAAGTAACAAATGACCTAAGAACTATAGAACTAGTTTTTATATTGTGTAAGAGTCATTCAATAGGCAATTAATAGAATTTAATTTTCACAAAGCCTCAATGTAACACTCCTAAGAGGAAGCGTCTTAATACCTAAGAGCTATTTTTCTTTTGTTTTTTTTTTTATCAAATTTAACACAAAGCTGTAATAAGCAACACAAAGCATCCTTAGTCCTATATGCAGCAATAAAATCCAAGTTCGTGACATGTATGTCAAAAGCAATCAGACAGCCATACTCTTAAGGTTACTTAATCCAGATCCCATATATAGTACTTTGTCAAAGAAATGGATAATCATTTGAGAACATGTAAAATCTTCTAAGTTAGGGAAAGGAAAAGCCTGAATAAAGAGCATTTAGAAAAATTTGCTTTCATTACTCTTCATTACCAAAAACCGAATTGTTAACAGAAATCTGCTAGATAAAGCTATTCTAAACAAATAGCAAAAGAAACACAACCTAAAAGAAAGTAACTCAACTATAACAGCAAAATTATTTCTGTAGGAAGTACAGAACCTTACATCACTTTTATTTTGCTCAGAGTGGTCTGAGAATAGAGGCAAAAATTACAGAATATGAAGCACAATGCATTTTTACACATTGAAATTTACAATATTGATTTTTCTCATTGAAGTATTATTTATTTGAACTTGGATATGGAATGCTTTTAGAAAAACTACTACTACATTTTTTTTTAATGAGAATGTAATTAACATTATCCAACGGTTCGAACACAAAAAAAAGAAAGATGGGACAGACATTTTAAAAGCTTGCCAACATCAAGTTTACCAGTTCAAGTAAGATTCTTGCCCTCTTGCCCAGTCACTGCTTTAATGGTATATTACAGGATTGATTCATACAGACTTACTACTGACATTCATTTCAGTGTTCAAGTTACTCTTATTCCATTTATTGCATTTAAGATTTACATGAAAACTCAAAAGGACTCATATTTTAAAACTTCTAAAGAGGTCAATAGACCTTATAATAGTAAATTTGCAAATAGTTTTTTTTTTAATAAAAGTTTTCACTCAAGTATCTCAGTCCCACCCTTTTCTTGTCTACTTCCACAATAAGTATCACTTGGGGTACCACTTGGTTTATGTCAAAGGTACAATAATCCAGGAAAACTATTTTTTTGCACTGGAAAGGCTTATGTAAAATTTTGCTTGGATGAAGGCACATAACAATATTACAACTCAATTCTGATTTATGTACAAACAAAACATGGAACTTTGGGTATGGTATATCACTGACTGAGAAAAATGTCAACAACTGTACACTAGGAATTTGTAGTTAATGTCAATGCAATGGAACTCAAATCATAACAAATTTAAGTGTATAACTCCTTACTAGACTGTAAATTCAAAACTAACAATGAAATTTTCAAAAGCAATGTATTTGGTTTACTACACTAATTTTACAAGAAAACTGTTACTAATTAACTTTGGATATGAGCTGATTTAGAGGCTCCATGATGAGCACATCAAATTTTGGAAATGGCTAAAAACATATATTAGTAAACTATAACCTTGTTGATAAAATACAAAGTTTAAAAGAACAACTTGTAGAGCCTATACCTTTTTATAAAGCAAATGACAATTAAACATTTAAAGTAATAACCTAGCCACAATCTATCTTAAGGATCAGATGTATTAAAAAAAATTCTATCATTAAAATTTAGTGTTTAGATTTAGAATAGGATATGACATTCATTTTTTATATCCAAACAATACCAAATTCAGTAATTTTAGCTTTAAAAGGGAAAGATGCTTTGTCTTCACTAAAGGAATGTTTTTAGAATTACTTAATGTTTTAATACATTATATGGGAAAACTACATAAAAAGTAGTTTTGATAAATATTCAAGCTGCATAATCAAAATGCAAGCCAAAGTATTAAAATGGGCTTTCTTACTTCAGAAAGCCCTTCATGTTCCAAAGAAATAAGACTTACATATTCATTTTCTTATTCAAAAAAGCTCTTACTTGTTAACGTGTGTGTGGGTTATGGCTAAAGAAACTACTATTCTGTCACAGAATTATATACACTTGATAAAACCCATTACATTTAAATATTAACAATTTTCAGGATTAATTTTCAGTCAGTTTCTGCAGTTACTAAAAGTTACTGCACTAAGTCTTAAGGATTTAAGTCTAATTAATTCTGATATGCCATCAACATACGTAGAAAACCTCTGTATACATACAAGATTCACAGTGCCCTTCTCCCACTCAATAAGTACTATTCACAATTATAAAAATAAAATTACATGTGAAAATGAAGCATAAACAGACAACTCATTCTACTTTATGAAAAATGTACACAAGAAAATTTTAAAATACAGAAAAAAAGACAATGATTATGATTTATGAATGAAACATCAAAGAAAATTATTTCAAGGTATTATTAACTTGGGATGTATGGCTTGACACAATTTAAAATTTTTAGATATGTACCCTGAATCCACTTTGAGTAACTTTTACATCCTCTTTGCAAATTAAAAGATAATGTTCCTTTTTTAAAAAGCCAGAAAGATTTTTTTATAAAAAAAAAATAATTTTTTTAAAGAAAAAAACCTTTCATTACTGAGAAAAACATGCTTTTATACTGTAACCTATTAAGAGTTAGATTTTTCTTTCAAAGTTTCAGGGACAAATAAAGTTAGTTCAAAGAATAGAAACTTTATTTTTTAAAAATCCAAGCATATTATTCATATCTAAAACAATCCCTTGGTATTTTATAAAAACACTAAATCATATGCAAACAATGTATGTGATTACAAGAATCCCAATTTTTAGATTTTAGAAGTACATAATGAGTCCTCTTGATTATTTTTCTTGCTTTAAGACCACAATCTGAAATCTAAAAGTCATAGGGAACTCAGCAATACAGTATTTAAGGGGAAAAGGTGAAAATTTTTACCTGCAATGGCTTACCTTTTGCTTCAGATGTTTCCAGAAGATTAAATCAGAACAAGTACTTGGACCACTTAAAATGTAGGTATATTTACTGTATAAACAACAGCCTTGGAGTTATAATTACTGTTAATAATACACATATACTAAATATATAATAATAAAGAATACCCACCTTCTAGCGATGACGGTATTCCCGCTCTCGGTCACGCTCTCGATCGCGGTCCCGATCTCGATCCCGATGTCTCTCTCTCTCTCTGCTTCTCTCTCTATAATAATCATCATGGCGATCTCTACTACGGGATTTATGACGCCGACTCTTTTCTCGTGATCTACTGTGGTCCCTTTCTCTTGATCGTTCACGTCTTCTAAAAGAAATTGCTGGATTAATGCTCTCCATATTTGGATAGCTTCAAAAGACACTCAGTACAGCTGACTTTATCAGTTGTTCTATTTTCCATAGTATCAGTTACAAATCAACCAGCCTAAAAATATTAAATATGAAATTCCAGAAAGGAAACATATTTAAATTTTTGTGGGGGTTTTTGATTTTTTTGAGACAGGGTCTCCCTATAGCCACAGCTGGCCTGGAAATCAGGATGCAGACCAGGCTGGCCTCAGAGAGTCACCTGCTTCTGCCTCCCAAGTGCTGGGATTAAAGGCATGCACCACCATGCTAGGCTGTTTAAGTTTTAAACTGTAGGGCTTTCTGATTTGCATTATGAAATCCTGCGTTATCCTGCTCCTTTTTGCCTGAAATGTGAACCATCCCTCTGCCCAGTGTATCTACACCATATATACCACTGACCCATTAGTCATTCAGCAGCTGTCTCAATAATCATGGCAACTACAGTACTTAAGTTCAAGTAACCCTTATTATGGCCCCAAAGTGCAAGAGTACCTAGGCTGAACAATTTAGATATTGTTCCTTTTAGTGAAAAGATGGACGTGAAAGATGTCATAAACTGAAATTGCTAAGAAAAAATTCATGCTAATTTTGCCATCACATCTTAAAATGCAAAAATCACAGACACAGCATATTATAACTGACTAGTAATAATGAAGACATTATAGAGTTCATTATAGAGCTCAGTTTCAGACAGCTACTGTGGTCCTGGAATATATTCTCCTGCATATAGGGGTGGAAAAGGTCCATGTATGTTGGTGTTTTAAAATAAATCTTAAGGGGCCAGCGAGATGACTCTGCTGCCAAGCCTAATGACCTAAACTCAACCCCCAGAACCCACATGGTAGAAAGAGAGAACTGACTCTAACAGAGTTGTTCATCTTCTGACCTCTACAAGTGTGCCTGTACACATACACACAAATAAGTAAATTAAATACAAAGTCTTTAATCTAAGGCAGGGCCAGAAAGATTATTAGCTGCCACAATGCCAGGTAGGCATGACAGCTTGATAATTCCAGTTTTGTATGACAGAGGATTCCCAGAACAAGCTGGCTAGTGAGACTAGCCACACTGGCAAACTGGGTGTGAGCTCAATCAAGAAAGACTTCAGATATCAACCTTGGGCCTCCACACACATGCACACACACTTGCAAACATGCATTCACATACAGACACATGCATGAAAAGTAAAAGAATCTAGGGCAAAAAATTATTTGTTAAATAGAGTTTAGACTCACTACCCTGACCCATTCACTAATGATTTACCAACTCACCAACAAGCATGAACTACAAATTTCATGTACAAGATTAACCAAAAAATAAAAACTAAGACACATATGGAGATACACTATATCATCTATTTATAGATGATATCTTAAAACATGCTCAAGCCTGCGAGATAGCTGAGTGCATAAAGGAACTTGCTGCCAAGCCTCAGAACCTGAGTTTAATCACCGGAACCCAAAAGGTAGGAGAGAGCTGACTCTCACAAGTTATCCTCTAACATCCATATGCATTCTGTGGCACACACATGTAACCCACACAAAAAATAAGTAAATGTGAAGAGAAAAAAAATAAAAGATGCTGACTAAAAAGAAAAGTAATGAGGTGGATGGGGGGTTGTGTTTGTGTGTTTTGTTTGTTAGTTTGTTGAGAAAGGTTCTCATTGTATAGTTACGCTGGTCTTAACCTTGTGGCAATCTTCTTACCTCAACCATCTATCTCAGTCCTAGGATTATAGGCATGTGCCACAATCCTAGGTTTAAGGAAATTTCAAAGCACTTTTCTGTTTGACAATAAACAACATCAGGAATATAATCTTTTTTAAGGTATAAAATTCAGAAACTTGGGGCTCAGTGGTTAAGAGCACTGGCTGCTTTTGCAGGACCCGGGTTCGGTTCCCAGAACCCCCACATGGCACCTGACGACTGTCTGAACCTCTAGTTCCGGGGGATTCGACCCCCTCTTCTAACCTCCAGAAGCATTATACAGCACCAGTGCACTTACACATATGCAGACAATACACTTATACACATAAAAGAAAAATAATAAAATTAAAAAAAAATAAAATTCAGGAACTCAACATACAGTGAGTTGCTTTAATTCATTAACAGTTACCTAGGGCTGGGTACGCAGTTCAGTAGTAGAGCACTTGCCTAGCATCAGTGAGGTCCTCTTAAAGAAAAATGCACTATATTTAAGAAAACCTTTTCAAAACAGTATTTGAGAGATGAAGACCCAAAAAAAAAAAAAAAAAAAAAAAGCCACAGCAGAAAAAAACAGGTTACCCAAACCTATACAGTTGTCCCTCTGTATCCATGGGTTCTGCAACCAGACTGAATCAATCTCATACTGAGAATACTCAAAGCAATCAGCTGGGGTCCAGCAAAAAGGTTCAGCAAGAAAAAGCTCTTGCTGCTCAAACCTGGCAGCTTAGAATTCATGTAAAGGTGGAAGGAGAGAACTATCTTCACAAAGCTGTCTGTGATCCCCACATGTGCACCCATAAACATCACGTGTGCACAAGCACACAAAATTGTAAATTAAAAAATTTATTACAGTTGTTACCCGGGTGTGATGGTGCCTTTAATCCCAGCACTTGGGAAGGAGAGGCAGGTGGATCGCTGTGAGTTTCATGAGCCTGGTCTATATGTGAGTTCCAGGTCAGCTGGGGCTACAGGAGACCATGTCTCAAAAAGACCAAAAAAAAAAAATTACAGTTGTATGGAACACGTAGTCTCTATCTCCCTGTCATTAGTCCCTAAACAATACAATGTAGCTTTTTATATAGCATTTATATTTTACTTTGAGTAAGGTAAGAGTGCTGAGAATAAAAAAGATGAGAAGGAAGAAAACAAAGTAAGTACACAAGAGGATCTGTGCAGGGTGTATACAAATATGTCATTTTATAAGACACTGCATCTGTAGATTTTGGTATTCTCTGAGACTCTGGAACCAGCCATCTGCAGATACCAAAAGGCTACTTCTCAATCAAAATTGCATTTTTCTAGCTAACTCAAGTGATTATAAGCACTATACTAAGAAACTTACACATAATCAGAAGAGAAAAGAAGGCAAAGGAAAAGCCTAATAATCATGAACAGTACAAAGTGTCAATATTGTATTCACACTGTACTTGATAAGTAAAGAATGTTTTCATGAGCTTCAATTGTCTTTTAAAGAACTTAACCAAAGTTTAAGGCCCAAAATAAGTCTTAGAATTAAAATATAGAAAATTTTTAGAAATTCTAAGTTAATAACAAGGAAATAATTCTATCAGTTTAAGAAGTCTTTTATATATTTTCCAGGCAGCCAGACTTAAATATTAAGTGCTATACTCCTTGATTAATAAACATATTCTTTGTACTTAAAATGAAGACAATAAATGATATAGTCTCTGTCTATGACAAATTTGTTAAGATAGGAAAACCAGGGGCTGGAGAGATGGCTTAGTGGTTAAGAGCACTGACTGCTCTTGCAGAGGACCCAGGTTCGATTCCCAGCACCCATATGGCGGCTGCGAACAATCCTTAACTCCAGTTCCAGGGGAATCCAAAGCCCTCTTTTGACCTCCGTGGCACTGCACAACATGGGTGCATGCACATACATGCAGGCAATACACTCATACACATAAAATAAAAACAGTAAATAAAATATTTTTTTAAAAAAGATAGGAAAATGCTTACAATGAGTCAAAAAGAAACTGTGTCCAAGATAAACTCCTTTCTCTTAATTTAGATTCTACCTCCAGAAAAAGCATACTAAAGTCAGATACAGAAATTTCCTGTAGCTGGCAGGTATAGTACACAACTTTAATCTCAGCACTAGGGAGGCAGAGGAAGGCAGGTATGTTTGAGGCCAGACTGGTCAGGATTATACAGTGAGACCCTGCCTCAAACAAAGCAAAACAAAAATGTGAAAATTAAACACCTACCTTCCAACACAAAATTTCAAAATTAGTAGCTATTTTAAAAAACTGTATCTATTACAAAATAGAAGATTACTCATTATTCACAACTCCCTCTTTCAAAAAAATAATCTTACACAAGGCAAGTTTAAACATGGAAATATAGCACTGCAGTGAATAGGACAGCTAACTAAGGTCTCTGTAATTTAACACGTGCTCAGTTAGAAACAGGCGTTAGTTATAAAGAATAAGAGGTTATAGAAAGTACCATGAAAAGAAACAGAAAGACAAGAAATTAGATTAACCTGAGACATGAAGAATACAAAGGCAAGTATATAAAAAGAAAAGGTTTTAAAAAGGCTCCAAGAAGGACTATCAAGCACAAAGTCAGTGAAGTAGTCAAATGCTTCATGTGTACACAGAAGGGAGACCCATCTAGCTAGAGAAGAGTGAATAAGGGCGGGAGTTATGAAAATAAAAAGTGAAATTACATCAGTGAGCTTCAACGTTTATACTTATTCTAAGGGTAAACATTCATTGCCTGTAATTTTATTTACATAAGTGGAAGTCTTTCAAGGATTGTAACACCAATACGCCATTTTTAAAGCACAAAAATCCACTCTGACTGCTGAGTAGACTCTAAGTAAAATCAAAGTTCCCTATTTTTATTGTGTATGAGTGTACTGCCTGCATGTGTGTCAGCACACCCATGTCATGCAAGCCCGCAGAGGTCAGAAAAGAGCGTTGGATACCCTCGAACTCGAGTTATGGACAGGAACTAGAGTTATGGACAGTTAGCTGTCATGTAGGTGCTGGGAACTGAATCTCGGTCCTCTGCAAGAGCAGCCCATACTCTTAACCACTGAGCAATCTCCCTAGCCCCAAAGTCCCATATTTTTAAGTCTCATATTATTTTCTCCTTTTGTTAACTAGCAGTTTTAAAAATACATGAGACAGGAAAGTTTTACCTTGATCCAGAGCCATAGGACTTGGATTCAATTCCATGAAGGCAATCCTGCAAAGAACTAATAAGAACTTTGCAACGATCATCTGCAGAAACTTTGGACTGTTTAATTAAAGAAATTGCTGTTACCAATGTCTCAATAGCACTCCCATAATCACCTACAGAAGAAAGGGAAAAGGCTAACATCAAATTATGTTTTCAAACTACCATCAAACCACTTGAGAATAAGAGTGATGACGCATTTAACCAAAAGTGTCCCTTTTTAAAATAACCACAGAACGTAATTTTTTTCAGTTTCAACATTTGCAAAAGGCTCTCATATTCACAAAGCTAACATAATCCACTGCTTTTAAACCTGTCTTGAAGGAACATTTATTATTTTGCAAATAACTATGAGAGCAAATGAGAGTAACTTAAAATTGGTCATCTTTCCAGTACACTGACATATACCTTCCTGTCAATGCTTTTAATTATTTGCAATTTTTGTTTATTTTATGCATCTGAATGTTTGACTTGCATGTAGGTGCACCAAATGTGTGCAATGCCCACAGAGGCCAGAACAGGGTGTTGGGTCCCCTAGAATGGGAGTTCAGATGGCTGTTAGCTACCATGTGGGTCCTCTACAAGAGCAGACAATGCTCTTAACTGCTGAGCCATCTTTCCAGCACCCCTTTAATGACACAATGATTTGGGAGTATATATATATGTATATATATATGCGTGTGTGTGTGTGTGTGTGTGTGTGTGTGTGTGTGTATATGGAAGCAACCTATCTTCTAAACTGCACATAAATTTGGGAGATTTTCTTTTTTGGTTTTTTTGAAACAGGGTCTCACTATAGCCCCAGCTGACCTGGAACTCACTTCGTAGTAGACTAGGCTGGCTTCGAACTCAGAGATCCAATTGGGGGTTATTCTTAATAACATAAGTATTCTAACACTGAGCCAGGAGTGGTGGCATACGCCTTTAATCCCAGCACTTGAGAGGCAGAGGTAGGCGGATCTTTGAGTTTGAGGCCAGCCTGAGACCCATAGTGAGTTCCAGGACAGCTGGGGCTACAGGGAGACCCTGTCTCAAAAAGAAAGACACACATACACACACACACACACACACACACACACACACACACACACAAAAGAATTGACACTGAAACAAATATACAAACCAGCACTGGCATCAGACACAGCTCTTGAGATAGCACTGCTTGAAATTGCCCTGTTTCTATTCATGATTTCTTCAAACTCAGCTTCACTCAATGGTGTTCTTGCAGTATCCATTTCTCTACAGAAAAAAAACTAAATGTTAAATTGCTACTCAACAAATATTCCCTAAGTAACAATGTATACAACTCAAAACTTAACAGCTTTTAACTTGTATGTTAAAGACATTTGTTACTCTCCCAGATTAGAGAATGCTGTTTTCCCTACAAAGAGAGCAAGTCCAAGCAGAATTCTCTCTACCATTATCTTTTGGCTAAAAAACTAGCAGCTTAGAAATCTTATCTTTCTGAAAGACAGAAAGCTTATGTATACATTTTCTATGATAGAACAGATTTCATAGTCATGATTCTTATCTTTTGCTGACTAAATATTTTCATTTCTAGATGTTCAACTTACCTCCCAGGGGGGCCATAGTCACCCCTATCATATGGTGGAGGTCGGCCGTATGGGTCTGTTGGTGGTGGACCTCGACTATCTGATGTTGGCATGCCACTATTAGTTGGTGGAGGAAAGAAAGCTGGATTCACATGTGGAGCTGGTGGTGGGGCACCTGGAGGTGGTCCCGGAAGATGTGGAGGAGGAGCAAGTGTAAGGGGTGGTCCAAGTGGACCAGGTGGGCGAGGTGGAAATGGGCCTGGAGGTGGAGGTGGTCCCTGCTGTGGTGGTGGTGGACCAGGAGGGGGGCCATAGCCTGGAACTGGAGGTGGAGGCCCAGGAGGAAGTGGACCCAGCGGAGGCTGCCCAAAAGGTTGTCCAGGAAAAAGAACTGGTGGTGGAGGACGATCTCCTCGATTAGGAGGCCCTGCCAGAGGAGGTGGCAGAACTTGACCAGGAGGTGGAGGACCTGGTGGGCCCGGTGGACCAGGAGGACCTAAGGGCGGACGTGGTGGAGTCTGTCCAGCTACAAACAAAGGAGAGAGGAGAAAGAAAAAACTTCAATAAGGATATTTAACCACTATAAGCCAAGATTACACTTCTAAAGCAGAACTTACAGACCATGATTCTTTTTCTTTAAATAAGACCCATATGATAAATGCTATACTAACAACTACAAAGATGAAAAATATCCTTACAAATTTAGTTCAAATTATGATTAAGAAAAATTATTGAAACCAAAACTTTAATAAGAAAGATTATAACACTTAGAGATATTTTCCATCTGTCAGCATACACATACTTCTTACAGTGAAATCACCCACCTTATATTCTACTCTGATGCCAAGCTAGAAAGTGAAACAAGGAAAAATGGTCTTGAAAGGATTTTTTAAGAGGTAAGAAAATAAGACGGATGTAAATATTCTATATATAAGTCAAGCAAGTTTGGAGAAAAATAAAGACCTTTTAGGCCAAAAATGGGTATTTCCTCTATGCTGTGCCCCATATGCCATGGAATCCTAGTTTCCAGGAACAAAGGCCGAGTTCCTTTAACAAGATGCTTGATCAAATTTCCTGGATTCCAAAAATAGCATAACAAGGAGAGTAAGTCACATTAATAATGCATTACTTGAAAAAGAGAGAAAAGGAAAGAGGTATCAGGCAGATATGTTTTATCCAAAACTTAAGAAAAGTTTTACCTGGAAAAGGTGGAGGTGGCCCTCCTGGTCCTGCTGGCCCAGGAAATCTGTCCCCACCGGGAACAGCCCCTGGAAAACGGCCCCGTCCTCTACCACCTTGTGGAAATGCTGCACGTGAACTGCCTCCTGGAGGACCAGCTTTACCTTCCCCAGACATTTGTCCTGATTGTGTAGCTGCAAACATCCAAATACTCATAAATAGCACTTATTAAAACAGTTCTCTGAAATGTAACCATTGCTACTAAAAACTATTTCAAGGTTCAACTATACTATATATTAATTTGCAGATGCCTTGGGCCTGTACAAACTACTTAAGAAGCACTGGTTAAGAAAATGTTCACATTTATTCTAATGCTTTCTTTGAAGTCTTGAAATGAATATTCAAGTTTAAATGTGTTTCCACTGAGTAAATAAATGAGCTTTTTTTAAGGTACCAGTACTCTGCAGCAGCCAAGACAGAAATTCTTCAACAAATACCTTAATTTCAGTAGCAGAGATCATTTAAATTGTTTAATATATTCTCCAGTTAAGTCTTAAGTGCTAAAACATTAAAACAAAAACCACTTGAATTTCCATTAGTTACATGGTTATCCATCTTATCTTTTTAAATGTTAACATTCACAAGTGTACAATGACATCTCTTCTATATTAATTTTACCAACTACCAAACATCTTGGTGCCAAGCAGAAAAATCACTGAGTATTTTGTTTATCAGTGGCCTCTCCTCCATTGTAATACATATCCACCATATAGCTTTCCTTCACTCTAAGGATTAGAATGTAGTTTCTTCCTTTCTCTAAGATGGGAATGCCAGGACAAGAGTGGCAGCGCTACAGAACTTGTAAACTGTCGTATACTGGTGGGTCTGTGACATCTGGAGAAAAATGGAATGGGAGCAGATTTCCAGTACAATGGCCCACAGTCATAACCAATAATCCAATCAAGTTCATCTACTAAACAAAATATGAAGACAATTTCCCAAGTGTAATAGCTAACAAACGACAACAACACTGGTTAAAATACAGGTTTCTTTAAAATAAAGTCTCTGAGGGATTTGCTTACTTTTCCTGGACTGCATTTCAAACTGACTCAGGAATTGTTTATTGCATGGAGTTACAACAGGATTCTGACCATGAAGTTCTCTTTTAGGCAACAGATCCATTAACTTTTTTGAAGATGCTTCAGATCCAACACCAACAAGGGCAAATCTAAAAGATATATAAGGGGGTACAGATAAAAAGTGAGGTACTAATATTGCTGTTATTTTAACAAATGGTCTCAATTTACTTTGGTTTTTTTTGTTGTTGTTGTTATTTTTGAAATGGGGTCTCCCTGTAGCTGTCCTGGAACTCGCTATGTAGACCAGGTTGGCCTTTAACTCACAGAGATCCGCCTGCCTCTGCCTCCCAAGTGCTGGGATTAAAGGCGTGCGCCACCACGCTCAGCTCAATTTACTTTTATGAGGAAAGAAATAAAAACCCTGAGATTATTTAAGGCTATATAAGCTATACTTTTGTCAATAACTTTATAACACACGAAATCACTCACCATGTGGAATTCAGTGATTTTTTTTTTTTTTGGTGTATTCATGAGTTTTATAACCATCACAGTCAATTTTAGAACATTCATCACTATTAAAAGAAACTCCGTATCCTGTATCAACACTCCTGTTTATTCCCATCCTTTAAACACAGGGAACCATAAATCTACTTTGTCTCTATTGACCAGATCTATCTAATCTGGAATTTCTGATAGAGTATGTCCTTTACAACCAGCTTCACTTACCATAATGCCTTCAAGGTCTAGGCATGTAGTTAACATTCATTTTTTTCAATGACCAAGTAATATTCCACTAAAGCAATACCACATTTAAAATAAAAACATTCATCAGATAATACACATGGATTATTTTCATGTTTTACTGCCACAAAAAGATGTTCAAGTTGGGTATGGTGGCTCACACCTTTAACCCCAGCACTCAGAGGCAAAGACAGATTCTGTGAATTTGAGGCCAGTCAGCCAGAACTGCAGACACCTTGTCTCAAAAAAAGAATGTTCAATATCATTAGCCATCAAGGGAAATACAAACCAAAAGCATCATGAATTACTATAATCAAAATGACAACTTTACAGTGTTGATGCAGTGTTGGTGAAGATGTGAAGGATAAGCCCTGAAAACACTATGCTAGTAAAAGAAATCAGACACACAGGACCACATATTATTTACATTAAACAACCAGAATGGGCAACCCAAAGATGAAAAGTACATGAGTAGTTGTCAGCAAGGGGAATGAGGGAGATCAGGAATGAATGCTATGCTAATGGACACAAGGTTTCTTTTTCTTTTATTTGGGGGGGGGGCAGGGATATTCTGAAATTAGACAGTTGCAATGGTTATAAATAGACTAAAATTACTGTGTTATACACACATATACAAAATTTTTTTTTTTTTAATTCAGAAATTGGGGCTGAAGAGATTGCTCAGCAGTTAAGAGCATCAGCTGCTCTTGCAGAGGACCTGGGTTTGGTTCCAGCACTCAGATGGCAGCACCAGTTCCAGAGAAATCTGATGCCCTTTTCTGATGACAGCATTGCACGACATGGGTACACTCACATACATGCAGGCAATACACTCATACACATAAAAAAAAATTAAAAATCCAGAAATGTGCCTACTATATTATTTGTAATAGGTACAAGTAGCAACAATCATATTATCCAAAAATAAAAGGTTAAGATATACTTATTGCCAAATATTTAGTCTGCTTTTTTAAATCAAACATAAAACATTATAATATTATTTTTTGGAAAAATGTGGAAGCACATTCACTAAAGTATGATTATAGATGAGGAGAGTATGGCAATTCATTTTCTTACTTTTAAGTATCTATATTTTTTAATGTTCACATAAGCTATCTCACACACATGGTTTACTAACTAAGGAAATAACACAAACATTCAGCTTACATTATTTTCCAGTTACTCATCTTCTCCAATCTTTTTTTTTTTTTTAAATTTTCATGGAGCTAGGGATTGAGCCAAGAGCCTTGTACATGTTAGGCAAGTGTTCTATCACTGAGCTACATCTCCAGCTCTTCCCTATCTCTTAATATCAACAAAAATAATGCTTCTCAACAATGTAATTTCAGTCTTAGAAGGAGTATATTCAATAAAGTTAGAAAACAAGTCTGGCCTGTCCACATCCCCAACTCTACTGGCTTTAGTGCACTTTAAAAAGCACTAAGAAACATGAATTTCAAGTATGGACCTCTGCCAAAGACCTCCTTCTAATGTGTTTATGTGGGTCCCAGGGATTGAACTCAGGTTGTCAAGTTTATGCAGCACAAGCCTTTACTAGCTGAGCCATCTTGACAGCCCTAATGAGTTCATGGATTCCACACACAATCAGCATTAAATTCAAGGAAAACGACTTTATAAATGGCAATCAATCACATCACTATTAGCTTATATTAGAAAAAAATATTCTTACCCTTTTGATTGGCCATTTGCCCGATTTTCAAAAAATTTTATCTCCAAAATATCATTTACTCCCAAAGAATGAACTGCTTCAGTTAAATCTTCATCTGTTGTCCACTGAAAGACATTTTCACTTATTAAGCATTAAAGTAAAATATATTCAGGATTTTTATTGTCTGATGCCAACTTTTAAAGGAAAACAAAGGATAAATGAAAACTAATACTCAGTTCAAATCTAGTTACTGCCAGTCAGTCTTCAATTTTTTTTTTTTTTTTTTTTTTTTTTTTTTGATAGCACAAAAAGATCTGAGTACCCAACTTCATTTCCTGACAAGAGTTTTGGAAATTAAAAAGTACATACCCTTGCTGGACATGGTAGCACATGCCTTTAATCCCAGCAGAGGCAGGTAGATCTTTATGAGATCAGGCCAGCTTGGTCTACCATAGTTCCAGGTCAGCTAGGACTACAGGGAGACTCTGTCTCAAAACAAACAAACAAACAAACAAACAAACAAAAAGAAAGTACATATTGTAGGAGACATACATTTTTTAATCTTAAGAGTTCTTCCAGCTTTAAATTCCTACAATTAGACTCATTTAGTTTTAAAAGAAATATTAAATACTTTTTTAATAAAAATGTTATGAACGGAGAGGGTGCCAAAATTTTGCTCTAACTTGAGTGTAACTTTTAAACTTTGAATGAAAAAAATAGATGTACTGGCCATACAGGTAATGATGCACTTAACCAAAAATCTTACAGTCTTGTGAACAACCCAAATTAAAATACAAAGTATAGTAGGCATGGTGGCATATGCCTGGTAAACTTGAGTATTAAAGCAGGAGGACTGCCAGGAGTTCAAGGTCAGAATGGGCCATATAGGTGACATAGTAAATAACAGGCCAACAATACACAGCAAGAGCCTGTCTCAAAATCCACTGAAGAGATAAAAATAATTTCTACTAACCAGTTTTCACATTTAAGAACATAAATGAAACTTAGCTCTGTAATATAAATTAGAAAATGAACTAGGACTGGGTGTGGTGGTGCACGTCTTTAATCCCAGCGGTCGGGAGGCAGAGGCAGGCGGACCTCTGTGAGTTCAAGGCCAGCCTGGTCTACATAGCGAGCCTCTTACAGTGCCATGCCTGGGTGAGTGAGCCTGGTTGTATTAAAAAGGGAAGTAACAGGCTGGAGAGTTGGCTCAGCAGTTAAGAGCAGGGGCTGCTCTTGCAGAGGACTTGGGTTCAATTCCCAGTACCCACATGGTGGCTAACAACTGTCTGTTAACTCCAGCTCCAGGGGGATCAAATGTCCTCTTCTGACCTCCACAGGCATTGCATGATATAGGTGCATTTATATGTATGCAGGCAAGATGTTCATACACATAAAATAAAAATAAGAATAAAATTTTCAAATAAACAATGTTAGCCGTGTGTGGTAGCACATGCCTTTAATCCCAGCACTTGGGAGACAGAGGCAGGCGGATCTCTGTGAGTTTGAGGCCAGCCT